TTTCTCCCAGCGCCAGAGGGGTGCCCTCGGGGGCCTAACACACAGAGGGGGTCGCACGGGACTGACGAGCTGGGAACGCAGGTCCCGGGAGGCCGGGGCTCAGCGAGCGCAGCTGCCTAGGACGGCTGCCCGGGTCAGCAAAACTTTGTTTCTCAGTGCGCAGGCGCGGGGCAGGGTTGGGGGGCAGGGGAGGGAGGGGTGGAATCCCGAGGCCGGGAGGAGGGAGAAAGGAGGAGGGAGGGTGGTGGATTAAAATAAGTAGGCGGCTCGGTGCTAAGGGATGAGTGAGTCTGAGCTCGGTCTCTCCCCAGCACGTTCTCAGCCTTTGCCGGTTCAGACCCAACCCGGGAGCCGCGAGCCGCGAGCCGCGAGCCGCGAGCGGGACTCACCATCCCCGGCGGCCGGAACTCCGCGGCCGCTGAGCGCTTCCCGCGCGTCGGGCGCTCCGAGTCCCCGCAGCCGGAGGGGGGCCGGGACTCTGGAGCTCGGGGGGTGCCTGTGGGATCCAGTGCCTCTGGCTTCCCGGGTCCCCCGCAGCGGGAGCCCCAGGGAGGCGCTGAGCCCGGGACCGCCGCGGACCAAGGTAACTGCAGCCCCTGGCGCCCCGGCGCGGCGAGGGGAAGGCTGGCGGGACTCCCGGCCGCCTGTCACTGCGCGTTGGGTCTCCTCTCTCTCCCAGTATCCCCGAAGGACGCTCCTCCGGCCAGACGAAGGCTGCAGGACTTGGCGAAAGTGAGAGCCGCTGCAGCCTAGGGTGGTTGGGGGTGCTGGCTTAGGGGGTCCCCGGCCTCTGACCTCCTGGGAATGAGAGGGCGGGCTTCCACGACTGTCCCCAGCGGGGCCAGGCTCTGTGAAATCCGGGCGAGGTGTCCACGGCTTTGGGAAGTCAGCCTGGCGGAGGGGTGGGTGTCCCTGTAAGAAAATGCAGCAACTTCAGCGGACACAAACTTCCCCGAGAGCGGCGCCTCGCGCAGCCTGGACTTAGCTGGCGGAGAAGGAGGAGAGTGGATGGATGGCCACGGCCGCGGCCATCGCCCGGGGACAGGTGCATTCCCCTCGCGGGGTCGCGCTTCCTGCGAATCTGTCTTTTGTGTAGTCGCGCTCAGGTTTGAGGGGGGCTCGACCAGGGAGCGCAGGGCCCCGTGCCTGACCCGGCTTCCCCTTGCGCTCTGACTTGGGGTGGTCTAGGGGATGATTGCTCTGTGTGATCAAGGCCTGCAGTGCAACCCACCACTGTCCGGTGCGCGCAGGGGCGCGAGCACCGCTTCCCAACTGGAGACCGTCCCGCCGCCCCGGCAGAAACACGATGGAGCGGCGGGTGTCTTCAGGTTGGGGTTTGAGAAAGAAGAATTCGTTTGCTCCCCTCACTGTTCCCAAACCCAGCCTTCGGGAGAGGTGGGAGCCTGAGATGAGAGGGGAAGAGGTGAGGGGTGGCCTGCTGAGCGCATTTCTCCCCAGAGACGTCTCTGCTGAGAATGCAAACCCACACGCAGCACCTTTGCAGCAGCTCCCCCAGGGGCGGCAGCGCGGGGTAGGCTGGAGGGGTGTAAAGCAGCCAGGAGTTTCTTTGTTGCCACAACTTGGTAAATTTCACCGGGCTAGGAGCTGTGTGCTGGCTCCTGGGAACAGAAACCACGTGCGAGGCTAGTTCGTTCCCCAGGTTCGCAGCCTCGTAGAGAAGAGAAGGGTTGGCAGGGACAGGGGATCCGGGTGGAGGGAGATCCCTGGGTAGACTTTCCTCCCTAAGGCTCCTCTAAGTAATTGTGGTTTCATTAAGATTGAGGAGCAGATCGCTAAGGACGCAGAGGGCGTTTAAATGCGGCGGATGGCAGCCTAGCCGAAGGATTCGTTTGATCTCATTCCGTGGGAAAATTCAACAAAAGTAGCCCGGCCGGACAATCCTCCCGCCTGGGGCTCGGCCGCCCGTCACTCTAGTTGGGGATTCCATGTCCAAGATGATTTTCTGGGGCTACCACTGGGCTCCTCCAGTCGCAAGCTCGTGGAGCTCGCTCCGTCCTCATTAATGCAAGCAGTTAACTCGCACACGCTCAATTAGCCCCGAATAAACCACTTTAATAGACTCTGCACACTCCATTAATGCCCGGCTGAGGGCTGGCTGCAGACCTGGGATTGGCGCTCCACCGCGCGGGGACTCGGGCTTCCAAGCGCGAAACGCATTTGCTGCGTGTAGTCGGGACCTTGAACCGCACCTCCGAGGTCCAGAGGCCCCCCGCTCCTGGCGGAGTGGATGCGGGGCCTGGGGAGAAGAGTTCCCTCTCGGATTTAATGATCTGAAGAGTTCACACTGGGGTTCCAGGGTCAGGGCCAGCAGAGCTCACCCTCTCCGGCGGGTGCGCCGGGGTGAGCTGTGTTTTTCTCTTAGCTGACCGCCAGAAACCGGATCCTGCATTCGGCCCCTTCTGGGTACTCGTGCAAAGAGCCACGTTTCGAACGAATTTCGTCCCCGGAAAGTCACAGTCCTTGGCGAGAGCCTGGGGAGCCTGTCCTCCGGATGGGCCAGAAAATAGGAAACTGGCTGTGCCTGCGGCGGAGGAAAATAAACCGAGTGTTGGGGAAAACAAGATCAGGCAGATGGCCCGGGAGGTTGGCTCCAGGAGCCCGGGTGGCTGCAAGCGCCCCTCCGCCCTCCCGCCCGCCCTCCGAGCCCGCTTCTTCGCTCCTGGCGGGGGGCGAGGACGGGCCAGGTGGGCACGCCAGGTGCTTGGGTTCTCCCACTCGGGCACGGAGCGGGCTCGGACCCGCGTGCGGCCGCAGTCCCGCCGCTCACTTGGCCGCGGGTAGGCCGAGCACCGAGACCAGGGAGCGGAGGGCCCGAGGCAGGTCCCAGGGAGCCAGAGATAGGATCTGATTTCCAGCTCCTGAGGGAGGAGGAGGTGACAGCAAATCAAAGAGCGCTCACCTCGCCAACCTTTGAAGTTGGCGAGTTTTCTCCTTCTTCTTCTCCTTCTCCTCCCTCCCTTCTTCCCTCCCAACACAAAACGGCCCCTGTTTTCCCTCTGGCCCGGTTCCTAGGTTGCTTCCCCGCGTCCCAAGTTCTAGGATGGTCTCCGCTGGTCCCCCACGAGCCCTCTCTTGGGGCAGCAGAGAAGATGGGGGCAGAGGCCAGGGCCCTGCCCGCCGGCCGCCAGCGCTTGGTTCTGGAGGCTCGGCCGCGGCAGATTTGAGCCTCTCCTAGCCCGGAGGCTGAATTAATCGCTGCGGTCAGACCAGGTTTTCATTCAACTGCCAAGGGAACCCCAGCGCACATCTTCGCAGCAGGGAGTTTTGAAAACCCCCCACTCCCACCCCCAGCAGAGCTTCTGTCCTTTTGGCCGAACACACAGCGATTGACCCTCCAGGGGACAAGGTTCCTGGGTCCAGATTGTCCTCGCTCTTCCCGCCAACCGCCAACGAGTGTGGCACTTTCTTCTCCTTAAAGGCTTTGCTGCAAGGAAAGGCAGCTGAGTCTGGACCTGGGCTGAGGAGAGCCAGGCGCCCACCCTGCCTGGATAGGTGTCAGCCTGTGCGGCGAAGGGGGAAGCACAGGAGCGTCCTGCACCCAGGGAAGGAGAGATCTGAGGAGGAGGAGAGGGGGAAGAAGGGGTAAAGGAAGTGGGCCTCAGAGAGGATTGGGGGGGGGGGGGAGAGGCAAAGGAGAAGGGTGTCCCAAGCTCCCTGCCCCACAAGGACTTCCTGAGTAGCCCTCAGCGAAGAGCCTAGAGGAGAGGGCGGTCAGCACTTGAGTGTCCTGGAGGGAGTTCAGCTCAGAGAGGGTGTACTTTTCACTTTCGTTCGTCTTGTTTTTGCCTCCGCTAGACAGACCTGAGTGTCTGGGAAAGACAGAGATACAGGCCTCTCTGCAGAGCACAGCCCTGTCCATGGAGACTGGAGACCCTGACCCAAGAGGCCGGGAGATGCCAGCCTGTTGGGCACTTCCACATGACTTCCCTCTGGCCTTGCAGCTGGACGGTGGCTCCAGCCCAGCAGCGGTGCCGGGCCTCCATGCTCTTTCTTGCCCTGGGGCATACCCACCTGTCCAGGGCTCACCACACACACAAACACCCCCCAAGAGACTCCAAAGCCCCTGCCCCCCTCTTTATGGGGTAGGGAGGGCGCCTAAGTCCCCTTGTGTGCAACTGCAGATGTTTGACCTTGTTCATGAAGATGGGTGTCAGTGTGCTCCCTGAAAGGAAGGTGACCCCAAGGGCATCAGTCCACAAACAGCTTCAGAGAGGGGGTTGTCAACAGGGCTCATTCACAGTGAGTCTGAAAAGCAAATCTGTGGTCAACGTTGAGAGTTTTGAGGAGAAAGAGCATATGGCTTCTGGAGGCCAAACTGAAGGTCAGCTGGTCGACCGCCATGCACAGGAGCGGGAAATGCATGGGTTTGTGTGAGCCTGGACAGGTGCTGTCTCTCTGGAAGGCTCTTCCTGAGTGTGGAATGACATGACGCTAGCTCGTATTTGTGTGTGGCTCCCTGCATTTTGTAGGATACTGCTCTTCCTACTTCATCTTTGCACCTTGTTGTCAACTCTGCTTCAGAATATGTGTGTCTGTCCCTGTGTGTTTCTGTGTTTATTTGCACGCGAGTATGTAACTGTGTTTCCAGGGGTTCCTGTTATCTTTGCAGGAGAGTATACTTTTGTGTTGACTCAGGCTTGCGTGGATGGAAGTTCCTGCATGCCAGTTTCCCCATGTTTCTGCCTTTCTCAGGGTCATGTATGCCATACTCCTTCTTTTAAGTCGGTTGCATTGTGTTGAATTTACTTTCCTGCTGGTTTCTCTATCAAATTGTGCATCTGTGCCAGAGGCCATTTGGAGGGAGCCCTTGGATCACAGTGGGTTCCTGCCTTCTTCTTTTTCTTTGAGATCAGTGGGTTCCATGGGTGGTGCCTTAGACTCCAGGCTTCTCTGCACTGGGGGACAGGACGGGAACAGCTGGGCTGGAGGATGATTTACTCTGAACTTGTCCTCTCCCCACTCCCTTCTCTTTGCAGACCCAGATTGAGAACCCACAGACACGACCACAATGGGCAGCAAAACCTTGCCCGCACCAGTGCCCATCCACCCCTCCCTGCAGCTCACCAACTACTCCTTTCTCCAGGCGGTAAACGGCCTGCCCACAGTGCCCTCGGACCACCTGCCCAACCTGTACGGCTTCAGCGCGCTGCACGCTGTGCACCTGCACCAGTGGACGCTGGGCTACCCGGCCATGCACTTGCCGCGCTCCTCTTTTTCCAAAGTGCCAGGAGCCGTGTCCAACCTGGTGGACGCACGCTTCCAGCTGCCAGCCTTTCCCTGGTTCCCCCACGTCATCCAGCCCAAGCCGGAGATCACCGCTGGAGGCGGCGGCCCCGTGGCGCTCAAGACCAAGCCCCGCTTTGATTTTGCCAACCTAGCCTTGGCTGCCACGCAAGAAGATCCGTCCAAGCTTGGCCATGGGGAGGGTCCCGGCTCCCCCGCTGGTGGGCTGGGCGCCCTCCTGGATGTGACCAAGCTGTCCCCAGAAAAGAAGCCCACAAGAGGACGCCTGCCCTCCAAGACCAAGAAGGAGTTTGTCTGCAAGTTCTGTGGCCGCCACTTCACCAAGTCCTACAACCTCCTTATCCATGAGCGGACGCACACAGACGAGAGGCCCTACACCTGTGACATCTGCCACAAAGCCTTCCGGAGGCAAGACCACCTCAGAGACCACAGGTGCGGCACCGTGGGTGGCCCCAGCCCCAGAATAGAGCTGCCTGTCCCTCTGTCCTCACCATCCTCCTCCCTAACGAGGAGGTTCTGGAGACACCCCAACCCCCAGGGGCTCCCCAGCTTTTGGGAATTCCCTAAAATAGCGAAGGAAGCCAGGGATCAGTTTTCGGAGCAGCATGGGGGGAGAGAACAGGGGATAAATAGGACGGGAGATTAAGTCAGGTCTCCCTGAGTTCCAGACAAGGACAAGAATGCAGGACTTCCTACCCCTCTCTCCATCCTCAATGCTGTCCAGTGCGAGTCCCTGCTACAGTGGAGAGTGACACTCCATGCATGTGACAACTCAGCACTTGGGATGGGCAAGGAGTGTGACTGACAGACTAACTTTTACGTTTTGTTTAATTTCTATTTTAATAACCACATGTGCCTGGTGGGTCCCCTCTGGGACAGTGAAGCTCCGGCAAGTTGTCCTACCCCAGGTCCCCTCACTCACCTTCAGTGCTGACCCCCGCCTTATAAGGAGGGCATGCGGGTGTTCTCTCCCACCTCCCTGCTCCATCCGCAAACAGCCTTTTGCCAGCTCCACTCTAGGTACCCCGCACCCCCCCCCCCCCCCCCCCCCCCCCCCCGCCCTTCTTTTGAGGGCAAGCACCTCACCGTTGGGGGAGGGGATCTTGGGCAACTGTTTCTAACATCGCATCATGTTGCAAGGATTGGTTAATTCCCTGTCTGTTTGTGTCCTCAGATATATTCACTCCAAAGAAAAGCCTTTCAAGTGTCAAGAGTGCGGGAAGGGCTTCTGCCAGTCCAGGACTCTCGCTGTCCACAAGACGCTGCACTCACAGGTGAAGGAGCTCAAAACCTCCAAGATCAAATGCTAAACAGAGCCTCCTGCTCACCAGGGCGCTGCCGCCCGCCGCTGCCCCCGCCTCCAGAGGGACCAGAAGCCGGGAGGCGACTCTAGCGGACCTTCCCGGGCCCAAATCACAGTCCCTTGGGTCCCTGCCGCTTGCAGAACTACAGAGCCCCGCCCGGGGGCCATGACCGGCAGCCAGGGCGGCTCCCCCAGGACGCGGCTAAACTCTTGGCCAAAAAGGCGGTACTCACGTGGCGGAAGGGAAACTCCATTTAAAAATATATATATAAGAACGAAAGCTCCGCGGAGCCGCAGCGGCGCCTCTCCCAGAAGTATTACTTTTTCTATTGTTATTTTATACGTTTTCTTTATTATTTTTTTTCTTTGACCATATAAGCTTGTAACTCTGACTGCGGAGAAAGAGGGGAGAGGAACAGAAGTTCTGCGCGCTCGCAGCTTCCAGACCCCCCTCCCGCCCCATCCCCACCCGGGAGCCTGCAAAAGTGTAATCCGTGTATCTGCTTCAGCCGCCCGGCCCGTCCGGCCCGGCCCGGCCTGGCCTCGGGGCTCGCAGCGCCCACTCCCCGCCCCGGCCGCGCTGCGCAGGGGCCGCGGCTCCGGGACTGGCCGGCTGCGCAGGGGCCGCGGCTCCGGGACTGGCCGGCTGCGCAGGGGCCGCGGGCCGTGCGCCGGAGGGGCCTGGCCCCAGGCTGCCCCCGCTGGGCCGCCGGCCTCCGAGGAGCGAGCCGCCGGCTAGGGTTAGGGCGTTGTATTGCGATTGGCACTTTATGCTGACCATCGGTAACGGACATTTATCACTGGAGTTTTTAAAAATATGAAATAAACGGTTATTTTACAGGCAGTGCGGGATGGATCCTTTCCCTCCAAACGCAGGGAACTGGGCGGCGCCTGGCTTTGAGAGGAGCCTGTGCCACGGCCCTGACCTCGGTGGTGTTATCGGGGTGACAGGGAGGGGATGGGTTGGGAAATCCCCTCTGCCCCTTGCCTGTCTACCTCGAACCCCTGCCCATATTTATTTCCTTCCTCTTCCCTCTACCTCGGTTTTATTTTATTTTTTAAAAAAATATATTTTATTGATTTTTTACAGGGAGGAAGGGAGAGGGATAGAGAGTTAGAAACATCGATCAGCTGCCTCCTACACACTCCCCACTGGGGATGTGCCCGAAACCAAGGTACATGCCCTTGACCGGAATCGAACCCGGGACCCTTAAGTCCGCAGGCCGATGCTCTATCTATCCACTGAGCCAAACTGATTAGGGCTCCACCTCGGTTTTAGCGTCTCGGTCTCCCCACTCCCTGTCTCCAAAGGGCTTTGAGTTTACCAAGCAGCCAAGGCGGTGGCCAGTATACTGTCCTGGAGAAGCCCCAACAGCTCGGGCGCCCGGTCGCTTAGGGTTCACTAAGGGAACAACAGCAGGTCACCCCCTCCCCAAGCAAAACGCCCCGCCCCGCCCCCTAGCCCATGGCTCCTGCTTTGCGGTGGGAAGGACGCATCCATAGAGACAGCTTCCTCTCCCCCAAACCCAGCTGCAAATTCATAACCACGGCTGCCTCCCCAAAGACCCAAACCTACTCCCTGCCCGCTTAGGGTTCCCCAGACAGAACGCCGCGAAGATTCCCTGCAGTTTTCCAGCCTCGTCGGGAATGGCGGGGGCGGGCGCCCTGGGAGGCCCGGGAAGTGCAGGAGAAATCTGAGTCCTCGCTCCACCAGTGGAACTTTCCCCGGGGCATCCAGTTTTCCCACAATTAAAGTCCAGGCCGCCGGGGGCTCCCCTGCTGGGGCGAGGCGGGGCTCCCCCAGCTCCTGCGCCCTGACCGCGGGCGGCGCAGGCGGGGGGCGCCCGCGGCTTTCCCAGGCCGAGCGCAGCCTCCCGGGCTACTGTGATCCGCGCTCAGCGGCCAAGATGCGGCGGGGTCAAGCTTCCCAATAATAAGAACCCCAAATCCCAGCCTTGGGCGGGGCCGGCGGCCTAAGGAAACGGGCCGGGGCTGACGGAGTTAAAATGCTCGAGCCTTTCACTTACCTCCCCCCCCCCCCGCCCCCAACTCTGGGATTGCCTCTGGGCCCAGCGTTGGAGTGAACTCCGCCGTTCGGGGACCTGGCTTGTTCCTGCGGCCGCAGCCCCGCCAGCTCAGAGGAGCCCTGCCCTCCGCGTTTGGAGCCGCACTGCCCCCTGCTGGACAAGCCTGGCGGGGCGGCCCGGACTCGCGGCACCTCACTGTGTCCCGCCCACAACCCAGGGTGACTCGCCGCCCTCGGCTCCTTATGGCCACTCCTGCAGGTCAAAACCTTCTTGACTGGTCCCAGGGCCCCCTGCGAAGGGGGGACAGGGCGCTTCGGGGTCTGGACCAGCCTGTAGGAGCTTGGCTAGTCGGACAGGATCCCAATTCCTCTCCCACTCGGTCCTTAAGGACGCGTCCCAGGCGAGAAGGGAAACCAGGTCCCAGAGAACTGTGGCCTCTGGGTGCATGGAGGGGTTTAGTCAGTGGGTTTGGGTTTCGACCCTTGGGCCCAGCCAGCGCAGGCAGTGGGTGGTCTGCCCTTGGCCACGCTTGTGATAAAGCTGATGGCAGGAGCCACCTCAGTTCCTTAACTAATCCTGTGAGGTTGGGGGAGGGACATGATTGTTTCAAGACATCAAGAGTGGGAGGGCGCGCGCGCGCGCGCACACACACACACACACACAGCTGCGATGGATGCAGAGCTTTGGGAACTTCTGAGGATCTGAGAGAGAGCCCCACCCACCCCTTGGCTCTTTCTGGAGTTTCCATCTTTCCCAGGGATTGACCACCGCTGCTGCCCACTCCTCCCCCACACCCCTCCACCTCCCATCCCGGGGGACACAGGCCTCTGCGGTTAGTCCGGTCTCAAGGACTTCCTAAAGGCTGTGAAATGGGGAGGCACCAGGAACCCCCACCCTTCCGACCCCAGGCCCTGCCAGTGTGCATCGTTGGAAGAAGGGGTTCCCAGCGCCGAGTGTTGGGGGGGGGGGGCGGTGGCGAGCGGGGCAGGGTGCTGCTCAGAGATCTCCAGCCACTCCCAGCACCTCTGCCTGGGCTCGCTCCCCCCATGATTGCTATCCTGCTGGTGGCCTCGGAAGCCACTTTCCAGCCTAGTTCTCCGCCGTCTCTACTCCTGACAGCGATTACATAGATTGTGCAGAAATGGCATCTGCGAGTGGAAGGGGCAGGCGAGGCTGTGGGCCATCAGACCCCACACAGGCTGCGATTCCCGGTGACCTGGGTGGGGCATTTTGCCGCTTGTACTCGTTGTGGGTCGCACGAAAAAAGCAATGAGGGGATCAAAACTGTTGGGTGGCTTTCTTGCCTGTCCACTCTGTAGGCGATAACTCCACCCCCCCCCCCGCCCCCAGTCCCATTCCACCGCCTCCCGCCCCTGCCTCCACAGTCTCCGCGCGGGTTTTCGGGATGGAAGGAGGTCACTGGCTCTGGACCGCCGGAGTTCAGCTGGGGTCCTTGCCCAAATGCTAGGCCTGCGGTTCCTGCGTGGGGTGGGGTTGGGGGAGCTACTGGCTGGACTCCTCTGCCGACGGGTAGAAGGCGAGAGACCATCGGTGCAGCCTGGGGCTTCCTGGGGCAAGATAGGGAGCGACCCTGGGAGAACAGCCCGCAGGGGCTTCGCCCTAGTTGGAAGAAGTTCAGATTCCACCTCCTCCTTCTGGAATGTAGCGGGGGGAGGGGGGCGGGGGGCGGGGAGCGGAGGGCGGGGGGGACCAAGGGACGTTTTCCTGCGGACCTCCTTGCAGGGGACTCCGGGCTCCAATAGGGCCTGGGGAAGAGGAGGGAGAAACGCGTGGGGTGCTTAGGGCGCCTTCAGTTCCCAGAACGTGGAACCTGAGAGAGCATCACCCCTCTTTCCGCCCAGCGGAATCCTGGTGTCTCTAGTCAGCTCAGAGGCGTCCCATCCCACATCCCAGAGTTCTACGGTGCTGTGACGTCACGGCATCCTCCCGCCGACACAGTGACGTTACACAAGCCTCCAGCCAGAGTCAGGGATTCGCGATGTATTCCATGACGTCACAGAAGGGCCCCACCCGGAGAGGTGACACCAAGGCTCCCACATTTCCCGGGCCCCCACCCCTCCCCGAGAATCCTGCCCGGAGAGGCGCCCAGATTCCATCCTCTCCCCATCCATAGGCTCCGCAGACCCGCAGCGTTGGCAGAGGCCCTGAGTGAGGCCGGGTGTCCGGCGGCATCGCGCTGGGAGGCGGGCTTTCGGACCCAGCGGGGCGGGGACCACTCGCCCCGCCCCCGCCCCGGCCCCGCCCCCTCCCGCCCCCCGCCCACTGCGCAGGCCCCGCGCGCAGGCGCAGGAAGCGCTCGCCGCCTAGAGCTGCGGCGCCGAGGTGAGCCGTCCCTCCGCGGTGTCGGGAAGCCGCTGCGGATGGGTGTGTCCCGCTCGCAGGCTCACCTGCCCGGCGGGTGCATCCAGCCATAGGCGCCGGTGAGCGCCACAGGTGCGGACGAGGGCGAGGCTGGAGGCGCTGCGGCGTCCCGTCCCGCACAGCCTGGCCCACCCAGGTCCCTGAGCTTCACCGCCCGGTGCCGCCCTCCCTGTTCGCGCAGGGTCTCCGAGGCGGGGGTCTCGCCCCCCATCTGGACGGAGCTCTTGGAGACAGACTTGGCCACTTACGCTCCCTGTTCAGCCCGGTTTTCGGGGCCGCGGATAGAGCCGAACGGTTGCTGGCCCCAGTTTGCATGTTTCCATTGAAAAGTTCGCTCCGGACGGGAGATATTTAGGCAGGGGTCAAAGCTCACGTCGCCGGCAGAGGAAGAATCAGAAGCTGTGTTTTCGTGCCAGGCGAGGGGCCAGAAGACCCAGTGTTAGCTTTTCCCGCTACTTAACGAGCTTTGGGCAAGTCCCTGCGTTTCTCTGCGCCTCAGCTCTCTTCCTGTAATGGGGATAAGACGCTTCCCATCCACCTCATTCAGGTGATGGAGAGGTCAAAGTCACATTTTCCCCATCACATTCAGACCTGGAACCCCAAACGGGGCCCTGGTGTGTTGCAGAGCAGCTTTGGCATGTGCGAGGTGCCATGTACAAGTGTGGCTAGACATGCTGCTCCGCACCCAGCAGTGGCCCGCCTCCCACGCTGCCTTATTCCCAGGAGCATC